TGGGTGGATGGATGGTGGGTGGGTGGATGGATGGTGGATGGGTGGATGGATGGTGGGTGGGTGGATGGATGGTGGATGGGTGGATGGATGGTGGATGGGTAGATGGATGGTGGATGGGCGGATGGATGGTGGATGGGCAGATGGATGGTGGATGGGTGGATGGATGGTGGATGGATGGTGGATGGGTGGATGGATGGTGGATGGATGGTGGATGGGTGGATGGATGGTGGGTGGGTGGATGGATGGTGGATGGGTGGATGGATGGTGGATGGGTGGATGGATGGTGGATGGGTGGATGGATGGTGGATGGGTGGATGGATGGTGGGTGTGTGGTGGGTGTTGGAGAAAGGGTTGAGAGGCGTGTGGACAGAGGGAGCGGTGTTCCAGATATAGGGACTCGGCATTTAATCAATTTTAAGAGGGAGCTCTCACTACCAACCGCAAAGGAAACACCTCAAGGTTAAAACAAACAGCAGCAGCAAAGGGAAAAACCACGCGGGTCCTGTGGTCCTCATGACCCGGAGGCCGGCTCACACCCAGAAGTGTGTCTTCTAGAACAAAACCAAACACGATCCCCATACCTGGCTAGATGTAAGGATTACTATGTGCTCATGGTACTTCAATAACTGTCCTTCAGAACTCACTATTACTATAATTAGCAATCTGGTCAGGAGCACCATTCTTCTGGATTTCTGGTTTGAAAGCCTTCCTCCAGCCTCCTGGAGCCTCTTATAATGAGCCTAGAGATGAGAGTTTCCAGGTCTCTAAATAATGAAAACCAGAACGTGGAAATTCTAGATCCATCTCCTGGCTTAGGTGCTCTGGCTGGAAGGTGTTGTATTCAGGGCAGCCGCTGTGTCCTGGTTGAGGAAGCAATGAGGGTGAATTCCGGAAAGTGAGGACCTCACACCCACAGTGTTGTCTAACGGGAACGGGCCAGCGCCCAGCTGCGGCCAGACCCCCCCATGCCTGCTGAGTCCCGAGGTGGCTTCTGCGTGCCCGCCAGCCCTCCATCACCGCCACTACCACAAACTTCTTCTGTCAGTTCAAAATTCCCAGATGCAACATGGCTGAGTCTCACATGACCATTCTTGAGGTGGGATGGGCCTGCTGTGGGCCGCTGGGACATGAGCCACGCGTGACACGCAAAGAGAGGAACATCAGAGGATCCCCATGTGTCCCAGGAGGAATGGGTCTCGTCCACAGAAGCTGGGCTGGCCCCTCCGGCTGTCACTACAGTCCCTACCACGAGCCCCGTGTCCTGTCCAAACACCCAGTCCCTGGTGAAGAGACGAAGCTAGGCTGTGATGTTGAAGATTAGAGGACAACCTTTGAGAGTCACCCAGAAAGCCACTCCCAAGAGTGGAAGGTGGAGATTCCAAGGTGGAGCAGCAGGAGCAGCCGGGGCAGCGGGGGGTGGGGGGGCAGCTTGGCCCCTGAGCCAGGCTTGGAGACCACTCTGGTGGCCCCTGCTGACTACCTGAGCCCAGGCCGCTGCTCTGATCATCAAATCCCACGGTGGCCCGTGCCCCAGCCCTGACAACAGAGATGGCTCCGGGGTGGCCTCTGGGAAGGCCCAATTGGAGGCATGGGCTTTGTGCCACGTGGTGAGGACTCTGGCCCACAGGGACCCGGAGGTTCTGGGCGCCAGCCAGGCCGGAGCGCACCCGGCCGTGGGCAGCCAGTGGCCTGGCTTCCCTATGAGGCGGCCAGCAGTCGGCCTAGACCTGGCCCCAGCACGGCTGCCCATGCTGCCCGCCGTTCCTCTGCCAGCATTGCCAAGTTATCTAAAGATACATCTGTGCAAAAGAAGTTCCTTCCAGTCACCGACGCTCTGCTGTGTGGTCCCCTGCAGATGGTAGACAGCGCGGTGGGGAGCAGAGGTTTTGCTAGTGGCTGACCCTGCACTTCTGAAACCAGACTCGAGGCTGGACGAACAGCGGGACGGGAGTGGGGCCCTCGGTGGCCCAGCCACGCGGGGTGCGAGGGGGAAGTGCAGCTGGGTCTCCACCGGAGCTCAGTAGCTGCACACTGACAATGGAGGGGAGCCCACAGTGGCACTAGAGCTCAGCGAACAAGTTCACCACCGTTGGAACATCCTTCAACCCAGGGCAAGCTACAGAAATACCCGCCACCCCTGCTCCAGGTGGGAGCTCAGCATCAGCCCTGCCACAGGTCGCCCGTTCCATCCGCAGCCCACCAGCCCACGGCCGAGCCCTGAGGATGTGAAGCTCCTGGCGATGAGCGACACACATCTGGGCCGGCGTGGAGGCCCAGGCCCTGCCCCGTGCCTCTGCGGTGACCAGGCCCAGCTCCAGCTGCTTTGGCAGGAAGCCCGTGCTGTGACCGCGGGAGGGTGGAGAAGGGCAGGCAGGAGAGGAGGCAGCCTGGCTGCTCTTCTGTGGAGTTGTCCTGGGAATGGGGTTTCTCTAGAAGGTGTCTGAGTCCAGGGGTGCACTGAGGAAGAAGAGGCCTTCCTTGGTCCCAGCAGAGCCCAGCATGGAGGGGGCGGGGCCTGGCACAGACCCAGGAAGCCCTTACGGAAACAAAGGATTTAACAGGGAGAAGGAGAACACATCAAACCTTTATTAGAAAAAAAAGCCACTGGGCACTCTCGGCTAGTCTACCGTCTTAGCTAATCAGGAGGCTGAGATCCCAGGTTTACCGCACAAAGCCTACAACAGCAGGGAAGCCAAGAGACCAACCCTTATCTCCAATTAAACACCAAAAAAAGCTCAAATGGCACAGAGCTAGCCTTGAGCAAAAATAGCTCAAGGACAGTGCTCAGGTCCTGAGTTCAACCCCTAGAACCAGCACAAAAGCAAAAGTAAACAAGTAAACAGAAGAGAGTTTTCCTTAGACAAAGTGTAGACTGGAAGCTTAAATACTGGACCTTCCCGAGGTCAAGGAACCAAGGAACTCTGAGAGAAGGCCTCCCCCCGGCTGACAGGGGCGGCCTCTCCTCCGTGGATTGGGACGGGCCTCCCCTGTCTGTCATGTCACTGTGCGCAGTACCACGGGGCGCTGCAGGGTCACTGAGTACCTGTGTGGGAGCCGGGACGCGGGGCTCTGCGGAGGACACAGGGCATTTCCGGCTTACACTGCTCCTCATCGGCCTCAGCAAACACCATGCCCAGAGGAGCTGAGCCTCATCCTTCTAAGCAATGTGATGTCAAAGAGCCTGTGGCCTCCTGGAATAGGCGGCAGGGCGCGCGCCCTCCCTCCCACGGCCCTCGGCCCTCCCTCCCACGGCCCTCGGCCCTCCCTCCCATGGCCCTCGGCCCTCCCTCCCACAGCCCACGGCCCTCGGCCCTCCCTCCCACGGCCCTCGGCCCTCCCACAGCCCACGGCCCTCGGCCCTCCCTCCCACAGCCCTCGGCCCTCAGCCCTCCCTCCCACGGCCCACGGCCCTCCCTCCCACGGCCC